ACGATGTTATTAGTTAAAGAGGGCGTAGTTTAATTAATTACTTTGGATGGTTATTGCTTTGATTTATTTGTCATTAATTATGGGACTCAGGTTCCATTGTATACCCAACCGAGAAAAATTTTATCTGTCTTATATAATTTTATACACACTAAATTTAATTCCTCTTCTTAAAAATACTCTAACAGTTCCATTTTGAAATTTGAAATTCCCCATCTCCTTCCTAATTTTTTTTCCAATTTTACAAATAGCGTTTCTCTATCTTTTTGTTTTTTCATTTTTTCGTTTCTATACTATTTTTGGGCTTTCATCTAAACGATCCGATTCTATCGGAGTTACTTTTCTCACTTTTGACGTCGTTATTTCTACTCTTGTCACTGTTATTGTTCTTATCCATAAATTTTTTCAAAAAAGAATTTTATCGGTGCGATTTATTACTCATGCATCGCAGATGATGAGTGCACCTAATCGATCTATTATCGATGATTCAATTGCTTTTTAGATCGATTCTAGGGTTAAGGACTGATGTACCCGATTTTATATTTAAGAAATAAAAGTTCTTATCAAAATTGATAATTTTTATATACTTTTTTTGTTATTATTTGTACATTTACATAATTGTGACTGATTACTGTATATAGTATATACTTAACTATATTGAAGCATATTTATATATTCTTATATGTAAATCACATATTCATTATACATATATACAGATTCATACATATATTTATTGTTTATATTGAATTGTTTTTATATATTTGTATATATAAATCATATATATATATATATATATGTACATACATATTTCATCTTCACATACATATATAATTTATATTATATACAAGTTGTACATCTATATACATACATATTTCATCTTCACATACATATATAATTTATATTATATACAAATTGTACATCTATATACATATTCAAATATTATCACACACATATATAATTCTAATATACATATGGAACGTATATGTTCTATGATAAATCCATGATGTACAACGTATAATATTTTATACGTATACAAAATAAAACATATAATTTTTTTCTTTTAATGAAGCTTATCCAATATGATGAATCTAATTATTATGCTGTTATTATTGTAGTAGAAGTCATTTAGACAAAAATATATGTTAGCATAAATGCTGGGATTCATTATTATTTCAATTACCGTACATATACATATATATATATATATATATTAATTGAAATTGGATGATTTGTACACTTTTTAATTAATAAATCGGGATATACAAACACAAGTTTTCATAGCAAACTATCTGTAATCATAAAGCGTAATTAGATAAATTATAACTACAAAACATTATTTGCTTAAATCTGTTTGCAATATATAAAATTTAGCATACTTTTAAATGCTTATGAAAAAAGAAATAACTTCTTAATTTGTAATCATGATTTTTTCATTTATGTTTTGAAGTTGGTTGCAGGGTTGACAAATTAAGGCAGAGTGAGATAAGGCAAAAGCTTAACAAGGAGGGTATGGCAATGCTTAAATAGGACAAGGCAGGCTTGAAGAGGAGGGAAGGGTAATGCTTAAATAGGACAAGGCGGGTCGAAGCTAAAATATTAAAAATCTAATAGGGCAGGATTAGGGGGCCTTTTGTCCCACTTTTTCACTTCAAAGCTATTTTGTTTATACAATTTTGAGCCAAATTGTATATATGTTACTCATTCGTTGAGTTGTTATAAATTCTATGAAATAAATAAAGTTGGTCAGTAGGTTTCATGATCTTAGTTTTACTTATAAAGTATTAAATTAATATTTACTAAGCAAATTAATTCTCCAAAATTTAACCTTGACAAGTATTATGAAATGGAAAAAATATTTGAAATATTAGGGATAGTGACATAGTCAAATGTAGCGAAGGACGATCATTTGAACATCATTCATTGAAAAAATATATTTTGTATATAAAACTTATATAAAATAGAAAAACTTAAAGTTATTTTTCATACATATATATTAATTTTTGTATATCTGTGATGAATTTTCTAATATCAGTACTAATTGGGGCCATATGACTATATATGTTTCTCACATTTTTAGCCAAATTGTACAAGGGTTTTAAAAGTAATTCTTGTCTGTTTTACAATGGAAGCGAAGGATAAAAAAATCGTGTTTTAAAATTCTGCCCTGCTGACCTCGCTCTAATGCCTGACATACCACCATATCGAGGATATTCCCGCTGTGGAAGAATGACATAAGCCCGAATCAATTTTTGAATTTTGAAATTTTTGTTGTGTCGCCCCAATTTTAAATTGACAATGTATTTCAAAAAGTTTTGGGACTCTTCAAGAGGTAGATTTTGAATAATGATGGACCAAGTGGTTATAATAAATATCAATTTACTCATCATTCATTCCTGAATGATTACAAGGTTGGAGGAAAGACAGGCCAACCATGAATCATTGCCTATATATCGGACAAGGTCATGAAAGAAGTTTAACTCTATGCGAATTCCACAATACTAAAACGTCCTATGTACCAAGTATAACGGATTAGGAAATTTAGACTAACAAAGCACAAAAGTCCCCCCTACTTCCCCCCTACCTTTATCCCACTATAGCGGTGGATAATGCCATTGTAAAGGTTGTCCAGCTGCTTTAGCGGCTCAACGCAATTCAAAATAGGAATAAGAGGGAGAAGAATAGGTCCTTTTACCATTTTCTCTCCTTTACTTTCTCAAAATGATCTTTTATCTCTCGATTACTCCTTTTTCAAACGTAGTACTAAGGTAATAATTATTTTTCCTAGTACTTTTACTTCGTTTTATGCATAAAGATTACTGCATGCTAGAATTTATTGAATTGAGTAGTAATTCAACATCTTGTATTGAAATTCAAAGTAAAAAAAGAACAACCTAGAATCATTTGTAGTACTCCAAAATTTAAGAATAAAAGCAAAATAATTTTTTACTTTTATCACCTGAACCAAAACAAACATAACCATGTAAAAGAATGTCTAGGAAAAATATTTGTAGACATCAAAATCATATCCAAAACAAACTAGGAAAAAATGGATTCGACAACTTTCAGGGACTCCTTTATGGATAGTAGATTCTTCTACGACTCATGGAGTTCTCTCATAAATAGCAGTGAATGCATATTTAGGCTTGTAGAATGCACTCTTGAGTTTCAAAATCCCATTGAACAATTGTTTACTACAAAACAACTACAAGAAACATTAATTCTCCTAAAACGCGTTAGAGAACTATCAAAAATCTTAAATTTTAAGCATTAAAGGTGTCATATATCTACGACACATCAATTACCATTTGACTTTTCAAATAAACACTAGATAAAATTTATGGATTGACATTTTGCATAATTGCTCAGTAAATAATTAATAATTAAGGTAAAATATGAAAGAATATAATTTTTTTCTCTTAAATATGTTAGAGTGACAAACAAAAGTGAAAACTTATTTATAGAATAATGCATAAACGGAAGTGAACAGATGTAGTAATTTCTTTGAAGTCGTTTGATTTGAATACAAGTAATGATGATATTAATTATGGTGAGATAAGTTATGTTGAGATTAGTTATGACAAGATAAATTATACTGATATTAATTCTTATTGAGTGTTTGATTTGTTTTTTTCAAAATAATATTCATTCCAAAAATGTTAAGAACATGTTATTTACTTATAAAAATACATTTCACGAATGTGAAGTGTGATGTATAATAATGATTTAAAGGAAAACCTTTGTCATTTACTATAATACCACCCAAGGAGAGGGATAACTTATTTCAGTACAAATATATTAATCTCGTGATAAGTTATCTCAGACCTGCCAACCAAACAACAAATTAAGTGACACTGTAATTCAATCTCATGGCTATTTGATGTTATCTTTCACACTAAACGGACCTCTTAATGTGTTAAAATTGATACCATCCATTTACTTTTACTTTATCATTCATAAAAGAAAAAAATATTTTCAAATTGACGAACAAGTAAAAGTGAAGGAAATGTAAAAAAAAGTGGTAGGTAAAAAAAATGACAAGAGTAAAAAACACACTTAAACAATTTTTTTTAAAAATTTCATACCTAAACTATTGAGAGTGTATCATATATAAACTATCACTTATTAGTTTGAGAAATATATTTGTGTAATACACTCTCTTTTACTTACAAAAATCTTATCACTTGACATTTCACATGATTGAAATATTTTACCTTATCAAAAATTAAACAAACCACTGATATTAGTTACGAACTAAAGAATAAAGTACTACTATTTCCAATTTTTTTTTTTATGAAATAGAATTTAAAATAAATTAAGAGCGAAAAGTTAGATGGAGACAAATGAAAAAAAGTAAACATAAATTAGGAGCGGAAGATTAGATGGGGGTGGGGTGAGAAAAATATTTTAAATTTTATTTTATAAAAAAATTAAATTTTCGGGTATAATAATACGTGAATCTTTAATTTTTAATTAGTATTAGTTTGTTTAACTTTTGTTTAGGTGAAATATTTTATTCATATGAAATGAGAAGTGATAAAATCTCGTAAATAAAAGATAAAAGTATACTCCCTTCGTTTCATTTTATGTGACACTTTTCGCATTTTGAGATTTAAACAAGTGCATTTTTGACCGTAATTTCCTCATAGATCATTTTAACATTTTGAACTATCAATTATTGTGACTTATAGTACTCTTAACGTCGTTTACAAATATATAAATTTATTTCAAAAAATTGAAAATTTCATATGCAAATGTCCAATCAAAATTAAACTGTTAGACTCTCAAAAAATAAAAAATCGCACATAAAATAGAAAAAAATATATTACTATAAAAATGTATTTCTCAAACTAATTAATAATAATTTAGATATCAACTAAAAAAAAGAAAAGAAAAGACATACTGTACTAATTTATACTATGTGATTTGGACAAAAAAGAAAACAAGTTTAAAGTGAAAGGACTGAGTTGGACAAATCCAAAAAAAAAAACCAGTATAAAACGTGGTGAGCATTTCCACAATCCCAAACTCATATTAGACTAGAAAAGTGGGTGAAGGAAGTTGACTGCACATTTCTGCTCCTACATTTCTCTTCTTCCCTAGAAATGGAGACAGTTGATTCAACTCGAGCATTTGTGAAGAACGTCAAACGACTCATTGTCAAGGTCTCAACTTTATCCTCCAATTTCTTTTCCTTTTTGCTTTTCAGATTGGAAAAAAATCGTTTACCCTAGAAGGATTTGATTTTTTTATTCTCTTGCACAAACTAAATACATTGACTGTAATTTCACGCTGTTTCAAGCCGTGTTTAATGTATACAAGTGACCTGCTTGTTAGTTTTTGAAACCAACAATGTGTATCCTTTGTTTTCCCCCCTTTTTAGGCTTTTCGCTGACAAAATTTTATTTTTAAAGGTTGGGACTGCAGTTGTGACTCGAGCTGATGGAAGATTAGCACTTGGAAGATTAGGAGCCCTCTGTGAGCAGGTGGATTTTTAAATTTTGTTTTGATAGGTTAAAATTCTTTGTTGGTATCAATTGCATTATTCTAAACATTAGTGGATTTGCTGCATACAGCTTCAGGAGCTTAATTCGCAAGGGTATGAAGTTATTTTGGTGACTTCTGGTGCTGTAGGTGTTGGTCGTCAGCGGCTTAGATATAGGAAGTTGCTCAACAGCAGGTTTCTACTATGTCCTTGTTGTCAAAAAAGTTATTTACTTGTAGATAGGTTACATTTGCAGTTGATATTAAACTGTGCATTAGTTAAGTTACTAATTTAACACATTGTATTAGTGACGGCAGAAGAAAAATATTAAAGTAATATAAGGAAAGTTGGTTTGATAGAAAAACACCACATTAGTGTTTAAACTTTGAATAGTTTAATAAATTTGAGTTCTTGAAATTTCTATAGAGATATTATAGAGTCAGTCACTTTGGGATCTCTAAATGGAAAGAGTGTCATAGAATTTGGATCTTAGATAGTAATTCATTTCGTTTTTCATATCTATGTAGGTTATGAAGTACTGAACTATACAAATGCCTCTTTGTAAATAAGACATTAATTGAAGAAGAATCAATAAGATTACTTCATGATTTGGTGTATTACTTTTTCTTTTTTTTTTTTGACAAAGGTAACAGTATTTTGATTTGGTGTATTACTGAAAAGGGGAATAAACTCTATCTTTTATCCTTGGTGACAAGATCCAATGATAGGATTTGAATTCCAGTACTTGTAATTTACTACTAACTTGCAATTTATCATATTTGCAGTTTTCTTGATCTTCAAAAGCCACAAACTGAGCTTGATGGCAAGGCTTGTGCTGCTGTGGGCCAGAATGGCCTCATGGCTCTGTATGATTCTTTGTTCAGTCAGGTTGACACACAGTTTTTGGAACTTTTCTGCTTGGTCCAACTCATGATATGCCTATCATAACCACAAAAATGTCTTCAGCTGAAAATATTGTCTACTGACTTTTTATTCTTTGTGTCATCTTTATACAGTTGGATGTGACATCAGCTCAGCTTCTGGTGACTGATAATGACTTTAGAGATCCAGATTTTAGGAGACAACTCAATGACACAGTAAATTCGTTGCTTTCTCTAAAAGTTATACCTATATTCAATGAGAATGATGCTATCAGTACGCGGAGAGCTCCTTATGAGGTGTGTCTCTCTGATTTTACTATGTAGTTGCTACCCTCTTGCTCCTTGTGAAGAGTTCCTCTATTAGTAGATAGATCAACAATGTTTCTTGCTGTAGAGCCTGATCTGTTGCTTACATGTGTCTAGATCAATCCATGTGTTGGGCGTAGAAATTCCCTAACTAGTGTTCATCCATATCTTTCAAATATTAACTTCTGCTTTGTTACTAATGTTCTTGCATCTCTTTTATATGTTAACTTCATTATGCTTTGTTATAACTTACAAAGCATAATGAAATTATATGTATTTATATATATGACATATAGATGTATACTATCTGATTTAGGCTTTTACCCATCAGTTCTCTGTAATTATTCTCAGTGTTGATTCCTGGGATTGGGAGGGGAATGAATTGAGATAGTGCATGTGGCTATGTACGTCATTTAGCGTTGGTTCCTGCCACTTTGGCGCTAAATTTCATCTTTGCTTTGATGAGGTTTAGTTTGTAGCTGTAATATGATTTCGAGTTCCTGCAAGTTTTCTGTATCCACTATTTTAATTAAAAATCATTCTTTCTGCTCATAGTTTAATTGTAATGATGAACATTACTTGTAGGACTCTTCTGGAATATTTTGGGATAATGACAGTCTGGCAGCTCTTCTAGCTTTGGAATTAAAAGCTGATCTTCTAGTTCTGTTGAGTGATGTAGACGGTCTTTACAGTGGTCCTCCCCGTGATCCAGATTCAAAGTTGATTTACACATACATTAAGGAAATACATGAGAGAGTGATTACTTTTGGAGACAAGTCCAGGGTGGGAAGAGGAGGCATGACTGCCAAAGTAAAAGCTGCTATGTATGCTGCTTATGCTGGCATTCCTGTTGTCATAACCAGGTATGATACTAGTATTTATTCAATTCTAAATTTTAATTTTTATGTACTTCATTTGTACACATGTTTATTTAAAATATTTAAGTGATGTCTTCTTAAACGAGTTGATAAATTTTTTTGATGCTTCTTGTCTATGTGTTTTTCCCTTTTTCTTGTCAATAAAACAATGTAACTGTCCAAAGAGAAGCATTTAGGGTGGTGTGCAGCAAAAGAGTCTGAATCAAAGTTGAATCTAGAGTTCAGTTGAGGATGCACAAGTAAATGTGAGGTGTCTGACTGGAGCTGAAAGGGAAAATGCTGTCATTGAGTCTGCATCGAAGTTGCATTTATAGCTTACAGTAGGGGAGACAGAAGAATCTGAGGTATTTTACTGGAGTTGAAAGTGAAAAACATGTCATTGTACTATGATAAAACATGATATTGATCTGCTGAAAGCACAAATAGGCACACAAGAAAGAAGAAAAAGTAAAAAATAAGATGAAAAAGAAGCAAAAGCAAGAAAGAACATTAGGTAAACTGACTTCTGCATTGCAAATCACGTGTTGTGTAGAATGCATTTTGAGAAGTATTAAACATTTTTTTCTTGAAACTGGGAACTTTCAGAAGTATGAACAGTTAACAAATACTTCCCTTTTTATCTATGGGATGTCAGGTTAAAACTTAGTTCATTAAATAGAAAGATGCATCATTTCAATCAAAATGGATAACCTAATTGGGAGTTGGTATCAAATGTAGTATCCTTAGTTCATTAAATAGAAAAATGAGTGACATAGAAATTTCTATATAAAAGGTATTTGATTTCCTTCTATTGCGCCTTAGTTTTTGTATTGATTATAGAAATCTGTAAAACTGTTCAGACTTCCTCCATTAGTTTTGGTCAAAGTACCCAAAATCGCTAGACCGAATCAGACACGGATCCCACACCCATGTCGTGGCGACACGGGTGCGACACCAAAAGTGAAGAGTCCGTGTAACTTAGGGCATAATAAAAGAATTGGGCTAAAAGAGATTTGAGAAATATGTCCTTTTGAAGTCAGTTTGACTTGGGCCAAAGCCCAAATTTGTTTTGATATGCATTGAGTATCCATAAAGATCCTTTGGGTTGAGCTTGTTAATTAATCAGATTTTAAAAATTGGGCCAGACATGGCCATTTTTCCATTGAGTCATTGTCGGATTCATGATTTGGAGGTTTTGAGTGTCGCACTGTTTGGAACATAGACATGTTGCTATTTACACAATCCAAATAGGGTAAATATTTGATGTGATAACTGTTCTGGATGATTTTCCATGCTGTCAGTAGTATTTAGCCATGACTTTTTCATCTCCATTATTTCTTTAACCATTCTTCGTTGGACTGTTTTTCCCTTGAGCTGCGGGTCTATCATGAACAATCTCTCCAACTCCAAGGTAGGGGTAAGGTTTGCTTAGACTCTATCCTCCCCGGACCCCACTTTGTGAGATTACACTAGGCACATTGTTGTTGGGTTCAGTTTGGGTTATTCGACTTTTGATTTATATAGACAACTTGAAAATGAAAAATGAAATAATTACAACTTGGTGTACAACAAAAAATTTCAATAATATTACTAATATTACAAATATATATAATTTATTTATAAATGTACTCGACAAAGCATATTTTGGAAACATTCTGTGATGCATAACTACTTATATTCGTTAATATTTCACGCTTTTTGTGATAAATTAAACAATCATGTATTAGTTTAGGAGGCATCTTATTTGTGTGCTTACATAAGTTGTTAACAAGTTTAAGCAAGCATATTGAATAGACATTACGTCTGTGTGTACCTCCCCAAGGTTAGGTGGTGTCACAAAGAAATTAATACATAGTAATAATCAGTTAGTATGAAATTGGAATCAAGATCGGCTTAGGAAGATGCTCCAATAAGTAATAGTTGAGGCTAAAATGTAGTTTTTTTTTCTTTCAAAAAGTATGAAAAAGATTTGTAAAAAGTAGTTGTCGGAATAATCAAGAAATGAGAGAGTTCTGGGAGGATCTGTCACAATTTCAAACTTCAATCAAATCCTATATATTTTATGCCTAATAAAAAGCAAAATAAAGAAATGAATCAATTTAAAAGGTCAATAAATAATTAAGTGTAAATTTTTTACAATTAAGTCATAATTGCCAAAAAAATCATCTCACACTACCTTAATGATGTGAGGTCATTGTATTTTGTGGTACATGTTTATAGGTGAGGTCGGGTGTTACTGTAAACCAAAAAATGAAAAAGAGATTGGAGAAAACAAGGTTTTGTAATACACAGACAAATACATACTAGAGAGATACAATTTTTTGAAAATATAATTTACAAAAAATAGGATCTACAACAGAAAATAGGAGAGTGGGAAAATTTAAAAGAAAGGAAAAAGATGAGAGGGGTCCATTTAAATATAGGTGTCAAAGGTGTTATGGTTCCATGGGAATAATCTTTTGCTTAAACATGGAATACTATTGAAAATGATTAGGAAGTGTGGTAAATGGGAATTGAACTAGATGTAAAACTTAACTTTGCCACTGGCTCCTCTTTAACATTTCTCTGGGTGGCATGCCTAATAAAGATATGATTTTTTATACATATCAACATAATTTCAACCTAGGCCTCCGGTGGCATGGCATCCCCACCCTTCTACATAGATATGCCCCTGCATTGAGTGCCTAGAAAACGTTTTTGGCCTAATCAGCACCTTAAAAATGTTGCAGTAAATAAATTGAGCCCAAATTATTTTAAGGCCAAAGTGGCCAAAATTTTAGCAATTGGAACAAAGGGTTTGTCTTCAAATCTGGAATTTGGCTCCTTAAAATCTGTTTGCATGAACTCTCATTTTTGTCAGAAGGCAAACTGACAACTTCGTTAGGAATAGTTGATTTGTTAAAAGTCTTTAAGGTTTATCTCATTTGTGAACGCAAATGAATTCTGGCAACATGCTAAAAGGAATTTAATCGAAACCAAATGTTATAATCGAATTTACGCTAAGTTGCCTGAGCTTCTCAAAGAGATTATTCTATATCATCTTTGGTCCTTGTGAAATTACTGTGAAAATGTCTATTACGGAGCTTAGCTAGAAAGGATAACTATTCAATGAAGAGCTTTCCAAGGCGCGACTCAGTTGATGAAACTGGATTAAAAATCATAGGAGACCACAATCTGAAATCTAGCAGAGGCCAGCTGGACACAGTTACCTTACCCTATGTATGTATTGGTGGGATGATGTAAGTACTCGGTTAAAAAATCACAAGGTGCATGCAAGATGGTCCAACACACCACTGTTATTTAAAAAGAAAAGGTGTGTTAGCAGAACAAGATGGTGGCAGTAAATGGTTAGGTTGAAAAGGAATGCAATAAATTAAGGCTGAAAAACAAATGCGAATCACTACAAATGTATTATATGCAGTGAAGCATTGTTCTTCAGACATTCAGTATGAAAGCTCATTTTTCAATGTTTCTTGCTCACTTTGCCTAAACTTGTTACTGATTCTCTCTCTCACTCTGACTGCACACTTTCATGGGAATAAAGTGGCTTTGCGACAGATAACATCATCAAAGTGCTGCATGGGGAACGTATAGGCACACTCTTTCATTGTGATGCCAATAAATGGGCCTCAATTGGAGAGACTGATGCTCGTGAGATGGCAGTGGCTGCAAGGGCATGTTCCAGACGTCTTCAGGTATATTTTGAGGGGCATCTGGCTATAACGTTTTGTAAGCTGCAATGATGTGACTATGTATTCTTTATTCACCTCCAGGCACTGTCTTCCCAAGAAAGGAGTAAAATATTGCAGGATATAGCTGATGCACTGGAAGCAAATGAAAAGGCAATCCTCGCTGAGAATGAAGCTGATGTGGTTGCTGCTCAACAGGCCGGATATGAGAAGTCTTTGATATCTCGTCTGGCTTTAAATCCAGGAAAAGTAAGAGCTTGCTCACTTATGCAACTTAGTCTGAGTGATCATGTACCTTTTTAGTACTCTTGCTGAAATTACAACTCCTTTGTCATAGATTTCTAGTCTTGCAAACTCAGTTCGTGTGCTGTCTAACATGGATGAGCCCCTTGGTCACACTTTAAAAAGAACGGAGGTGAGTGCTAATATATGTGGCACAATAATTTTTATTGACACGAGGAACAAACAGATTGTGAAGGAATCTTTTGAAGTACCTCTTTGTAGAAAACCTTCTGAACTATGAGACGATTTTAGTGGGTATTATACTATCACTATGTCCAGTGACAATTACACTGAACGGTATAGCCAAATATATTTTTGTGGTTGTTTAGTTTCTTGAGTCATGGAATGAACTGGCTGACTTGCTGGAAGATTGGAAGAAATAGAGATGTGGATTTGTACTTGCAACTTTCATTGATCTGTGTTCAATTATAAGCCTTTATTTCCTGAATGGAATGTTGATTTGATCTCTGGAATGTTGTCATCTTGTTCAGATTGCTGATGGATTCATCTTGGAGAAATCATCATCTCCATTAGGCGTTGTATTGATTATTTTTGAGTCACGACCTGATGCACTTGTACAGGTATGCGGTGCTGGCAAAGTTGATGTTTCCCACTAATAGAGACTCAGCTGCATGCCTTTTACTTCCCCCCTTCCCAATATGAATTAGTAGGGCTCACTTTTAGTAGTTATTCAACACATTTTTGTTACTAGCAGTGAGGATAATGATGGCTGACATGTCACTGTATGTAAACTTATGCAATTTTCTGCATGCTTGAAGTGCCCATCCTTGGATTATACTTTTATCGTTCACAAACTCGTTTCAATTTTTTATGCATGACTAGATAGCTTCTCTAGCAGTCCGAAGTGGGAACGGCCTCATGTTGAAAGGAGGAAAGGAGGCCAAAAGATCAAACGCCATCTTACACAAGGTTTAACTGATAGTTTTATGTTCTCATACACTCTATACTGGAGGTTCACGTTCTCTTTGTTTCATGACAACTTTTTCACCTTCTCCTCTTTTTTTTTTGTGTGTGTGTGTGTGTGTGTGTGTGTGTGTTGTCAGGTGATTACCTCGGCAATTCCTGTAAGTGTAGGTGAAAGACTTATTGGACTAGTGACTTCTAGAGAAGAGATCCCTGAATTACTTAAGGTGACTGCCGAATATCTTAGGAAACTTATATTCTATCTCTCTTTCGTTTTTAAGAAGTCATGACATACATCAGACATGATTTTGGTTCTTCGTTTTTTTCCTGCATTGCAGCTTGACGATGTGATTGATCTTGTTATCCCAAGAGGTAGCAATAAACTTGTTTCTCAAATCAAGGCATCAACAAAAATTCCTGTTCTAGGCCATGCTGGTAATTATGTTACTTGCATGATAATTACTTATACTTGCTTTCTCTGCTTTGATATCAAGAGTTCTGTTCCGATAATGGGAAAGTCACTTTGTTTGCTTCCAGATGGAATTTGCCATGTTTATGTTGACAAGTCTGCTGACATGGATATGGCTAAGCGCATTACTGTTGATGCAAAAATCGATTATCCTGCAGCCTGCAATGCGATGGTAGTTTCTTTATACCTTTTTGTAAAGCAGTGTCCAGTATTTAACTTCAGTAGTTTATTTCTTTTCTGTTTTTTGTGAATATTTTTCATTGCTTTCCCTTATAGGAAACACTTCTTGTGCATAAGGATTTGGCACAAAATGGAGGTCTTAATGATCTGATTGTGGAACTTCAAACAAAAGGTTTTTTTTTGCGAACTCCTTCAATAATTGAGCTTCTACATGAATACCTAAGTTTCTGATTTTGGGTGCTGGTGTCCGAAATGAGTGGATCTAGAGATTGGATCCTTCATAATCTACTGTCAACAGAAACTGAACATGATTATTGCATCTGTTTATTCCTTAATTTCACAATCATAGATGTAATTAATAGATCTGGGCGAACGGATCCTGTAATGTATACAGGTACGCAGGTTTGGCTAAAAATAATTCAAATGTCTAAATTAGATATGCCTAAATTATGGTGGACTATTTGGAAGGAAAGGAATGCATAAATTTTGAGAGCAAGTTTGAATTTGTAATTATTATTAAGTACAAACACACTTCCTTGCTGTTTTTTTTTGGTGTTACATAGTTATTGCAAATGATTTAGAGTTCATGATAGACTTCTTGAGTTCATTGCGCATTCAGCAGTGATGTTGACCTATAAATATCTTCAAAGCATCTTCTGGTTTTTCATACAAATATCTTTTAACATTAAAAGGACATATGCCTAATTATGATTTCACCCCAGCTTTTGTTTTGATTTCAGAAATCATTGCATCTCTCTCAAATTTCTTTATCAATTTTAGTTATAATACCCAAAATCGATTGACCAAATCCCACATCCACACACATGTCGTATCGATACGGTTGCAGTACCAAAAGAGTCCGCACAACTTAGATGAATACGTTGGGGTCCTGACTTGGGAGTAGGGGAGAAAAATTGAGATCACTTTCTTAATCTCAGTTTAGCTTTTAGTTGAATCACCAACATAAACACTCTTGTTATTAAATCTCATCTACAATTAACAGGATACACAATCTATATTGTGTTTAAAAAAGATATGTTACATGTTCTGTTCCTTGAGTATTTCATTCAAATCTTCTGTATCTCCTTTGTTGTTTCAAACTTGATTTATGATACATAAAAAGTAATCAAATATTATGTAAAGTCCATCTCAGTTGTCAAAATCCATGAGTTACTTCATACCTGAATCCTGATTAGCTTATATTTTCTGATTGCTCCATGGTCGCGTCACACTTGTCATTTCATCCCTTGTATGCTCTGACATGTTATCCATCTTTGTAGTTCTCATCTAGTGTGACCCTGTACCCCCTCTTTGTCTTTACATCCAAGCTTGTACTTAGGATACCCTTAAGCTGTCCATCTTGTATGTGCAACCTCTGCCATCTCATGATTGCTGCGACACTTATGGTTATCCTTATTCATTTATTAGCCTATAGATTGCTTTATGATATTATGGGAGTTACTAATGTTACTAGTGTTTCTATTTATAGTTTCTAATTATCAATGTGACTTTCTGGTCTTGTGCACTACCATCATTGTGGTTAGAAGTGGTTAATAATATTTGGATTACTCATGAACATGTTCAAGATGCTTTGTGGATAGCTAATCAATGTAATACTAGCTGCATACAAGGCACTAATTGTGAGCTGTAGTTTTAAAGCATAATCTTTTTATATTGAGAAGTGTACTAGCCGTCAAGTCAAGGAGAAAGAGCATGTGGATGTAATATGGCAAACTAAAGGAAAAATCTGGGTCCTTTCTCTCAAAAACATCAAAATGATCTCGAAAAAGATCACGTGGAGTCACACCCAAACAACCTGGACAAAAAAAGAAGTGACTTGGACAAGAAGAAACGAAGTAGCTTTTTTGTTCATAACTCAAACCAATCAACTTAATATCGATTAATACATATTAGATTGAACATTACTAGAAAATGGCTCTATCCTAAGTTTTAAAATATGTGGTAAATGCTGACGATCTGCAACAATTACTTTTAATGAGAAAAGTGATGCTGACTATCCTCAACTTGTTTGGCCTTGAAAGAACAGTTTAATTAGATTCAAGACATGTTATCTGATGTTTGCCTCTTTGCCAGGGGTTTCTTTATATGGTGGACCCAAAGCTAGCTCCCTGCTCATGATTCCAGAGGCACGTACATTTCGTCACGAATATAGTTCACTAGCTTGCACTGTGGAAGTTGTTGAAGATGTATATGCTGCGATAGATCATATACATCAGCATGGAAGGCATGTTATGTTTGCCTATTTTTTTACTAGGATGCATTATGATTATTTTTTTAAAAACTACTTCATATTGAAGCTCCGGTTCCATGCAAACTTTTGCAATCCTTATTTTGTTATACCCAACTCACTGCAGTGCCCACACCGATAGCATCATTACTGAAGATCAGGAAGTTGCTGAAGTTTTTTTACGTCAGGTTGACAGGTATATTTACCGGATTACTTTATCTTATCATTCTTGTGTTTTTCAACTTCATCCTTTACCACAACTCATGAATAGTTTCTTCAGTCTGACATACGAACTACCTGTTTGGATTGGCTTTTCGATTTCGAGTTATAAGCCAAAAGCCATAAAGTTGGAAATTCTAACTTTATGACTTTTGACTTATTTTTACCATTTTAGCTTAAAATCAAGTGCTTATAAGCACTTTTTGGGTGTGTTTGGTATGAAAGGAAAATGTTTTCCATGGAAAATGTTTTCCTAGAAAATGTTTTCCTGGAAAACAAGCAGATTTTGGACTTATTTTCTCATGTTTGGTTGGTGAGTAGAAAATATTTTCCGGAAATGATTTTGTGTTTGATTTATGAATGAAAAATGTTTTTTGAGAGACATCTTTTATTTTTACTAGAGTAGAAAATAATTTATGAAATTGAAAAATATTTTTTAAAAACAATTTTTATTTGGGGTGGTGGTGGAGGGGGTAGGAGTGAAAAAATAAAAAATTGAACTTTATAGTATTTTTTAAAAACAAAATTAATTTTTTTGGGGGTTGGGGGTAAATGGGCGCTGGCCGGGGGGGGGGAGGAGTTTAAAAATAAAAAATTTGAAGTTGAAAATATTTTTAAAAAGCAAAATTATATTTTTTTTTTGGGGGGGGGGGTGGGGAGCTGGCCGGTGGTGGGTGGGTGAAGGGTCAAGGATCGGGTAAAAAAAATAAGAATTTTATTTGATTTTTTTTTTAAAATTGTTGTTTTTCATAAAAAAATTAATTTAAAATTGGAGGAGAGTTTTGGAAAATGTTTTCTTAATTTTTGAAGGGAAATCATTTTTCCTTAATTTTGAGGGAAATGAGTTCATTTGCAAAACATTTTTCAAAACTTTTGCCCCAAACAAACATGAGAAAATCGGAAAACATTTTCTGGAAAATGTTTTCCTTCTTACCGAACACACTCTTTATATTTTTACCCAAACACTTCAAAAGTGCTTAAAGGCACTTACAATAAGCCAATCCAAACAGGCTGTAAGTCCTCTGGCATTTCATTAGTTCCCAATAATAAGTTTTGCTCATTGTAGTAATATACATTTGTTTTTCACTTTCCAGTGCTGCTGTATTTCACAACGCAAGTACAAGATTTAGTGATGGATTCCGCTTTGGACTTGGTGCAGAGGTATATAATCTATCAGTGATTCCAAATTATCTTTTGGCATTGTAGTTTCATATTTATCTGTGTCTTTCTTGGTTTTGGGTGAATAGGTGGGCATTAGTACTGGTCGTATTCATGCTCGTGGCCCAGTTGGAGTTGAAGGATTGCTAACAACTAAATGGTATGTGTGCTATGAACTGTCTTTTTACTTCAGTTCCTCATCTACTTCTTTCTGGCTTTAAGTCCTACCTGGAAAGCTACCACTCTTGAGAGTTCGCCTTTTGAAACAACAAAACTGTTTCTTCTCAATTCTCTTTGGTGACTCGTATATCTCTTATGATAAAAGAGAAAATGGAAGTAAAGAAGATGATATCAGTTTAATCTTTCCTTACGCAGGTCGAAATGAATTCTCTCAACTTGACCTAGATACGATTTCTTTCCTATACGACATGTCCTTGAGCTTTATTACATTTGCTACACCTTTGTCATCTCTACCATTAGTTTAGGGTTTAAGACCAAAAAATGTCTAATTTTTGTTTAGTGAAATACATCTAAGGACCATAATAAGTCCAACCCGTATATATTAAGGGCCATTTTATCAATACTTCATCACCAAAATGAAATGAAAACAATAAAAAAGATCAGAGGCATGAGTTTGCCATGGTTTTACTGTGTTTATTTGCTGTTTAAAATCTATACCAAGTTCTAGAGTCCAGTACCTATTTGATGCTTTTTCAGCCGTTTCTTACAATTATAAATGGGTTTTCTTCCTTAAGCTTGTTTTACTTATTTTGATTGGGATTGAATTTCATTGTGCATTTTGGACATGAGTTATTTACCCAATGCTGCAATTTTGTATAGGCTTGCAAGGGGAAGTGGACAAATTGTTGATGGTGATAAATCAATTGTGTATAGTCACAAAGACCTTACTCAGCAAGGGTGATTATCCAGTTGTGTATTTAGGAAGATTTTGTATGGTGCTATTGGTAGGTGGGTTTGGGGCTTACCCAAAGATTTTCTGTATTTTCCAGCCATTGACTTGTGATCATTTGCAGTCTTCACATTATTCTGTATTAACATAGTTATGTTGTTGCATAGGTTTTAACTTGCAGGACTAACTTGTCCCAATTATAATAATATCGAAATATGTATTCCAAATAATTAAAAAAACGTTTCATATACATAAATGTCCTGCCCAGCTTGCAATTTTTCTTCTAGGTTATTAGGTAATTTTGCCAACCAAATCTTAGGTAGACATAGATGAGGCCTTCTCTATAGTGAGATATCAACCTCGTTTTCACAATTTGTACTAGATTTATTTAATATTAAATCCACTATTAACAGGCTGAGGAATTCAATATTAAGTCAAGGAAATCAATTAACTTAAATCTTGCATTAGGAGAAAATCAAGGTTTAATTTAGAATTAAAATGCTATCAGTTTATTACTCAGGGAAACAATCAAGAGAATCTAGAAGGTAATTTAATGAACATTGAAAAATGAGATACAGTACAAGGTAGAAATAGAAAGAGAAAATATATAAACTTGACATTAACATCTATTTTAGCACTTTAACCATGCATAGATTTATTTACCCTCCTAATCTTGTATAATAAGTGTATTCTGTTAAGGTAAAATGCTTGAGTAAATTTTACGGTGACGGATTTGAAATATTTTCTCAAACAAAAATAACACATACATGAACTATCTTACTGAAATAGTTCAAGAGAGATTCATTATGGTGAAAAAGAATAAACCTATAAATTACAAGTGCGTTCAACTTTTATCTTTTAAAAGGTAGTTGATGAATTAAAAATTCTAAAGAGATGGGGCTAGTTTCAAATATATACAATAAAGTAGTTAGTTTACGGTAAATATAGTCATAAAAAATATACATTGACTATACAATATAACTTATATATGAACTCTACACTTTCGATACATTATAATACACACAAAAATTGGAATATAGCTTAACTATATATGAAGTATACGCTGACTTTTCAATCTCGATCAACTCAAAATCATCTCTAAACATTCACTAGCTTTAGATATAAAATTCTCTCAATGTTTCGAGTCTTTTTGAGGTGTAATTCACTTAAAACAATTCACATTTGCAATATCTCATTTTTTTAAAAAAAGAAGGGAGACGAAGAAGATACAGAAGAAGAATGACAAAGAACACTACTAATTTTTAAAGTGGGCTATTTAAACTAATGAACATTTTATCTAATTTTCGGAAGAGTCTATTTATATTATGAGTAATTGTAATGGGTCGACATAAATGCTCAATAAACTTCTAGGCTTGAAATTTAGGATTAATTACATCAGTTGATTTCTTTTAAAAAATAATCGGAAAAAGGGTGTAAAATATCCTTAAAGTATTGAAAATGGTACAAAATTACCCTTCATCCACCTATTGACTCAAAAATGCCATTTTCATCCACCTTTTGGCTCCAAAATACCCTTGTCATCCACCTTTGAGTTTAAAATTGACCACTTATTTAATGATTTTAAATTTAAACTATTTAAATATTTTTAAAATTCTTGATGTTCAACTATTTAATTTATTTTGTATTATTTATAAACCAATCCAATACCCACCGATTACTAACTAAACCCCACCCAATTAATAATCCAACTTTAATATCAAAATAGTCATAAACACTACTACTACTACTACTACTACTACTACTACTACTACTACTACTACTACTACTGCTGCTGCTGCTGCTGCTGCTGCTGCTGCTGCTGCTGCTGCTGCTGCTGCTGCTGCTGCTGCTACTACTACTACTACTACTACTACTACCACCACCACCACCCCATTGACAGCTTGTCGATCAATTGATAGTCCGTCGATGGGGTCTCGGGCTAGTGTCCTGAGACAGATATCAGGCCATGTTTGAAACTCCACATTTTGACACCTTTAGACCCACACATGTTTACACAACAGATAGCAACAATCAAAAGACGATTTCTTCATTCTTAGAGTTTAGATTTCACAAGATTCATGATCTAAGTCATTAATGCTACAAAGCCCTAAATGGGAAATTCTATCGTTACTATTACAAACACATTTTAATCATAGCAACCCAATCACTTTCTATCATTCCAAGGGACATTTTACACAAGTTTCAACAAGAAAAATCACACAATTGTGTCTCTTAGTCAAGACCCGATTTATAATTTGTGATTCTAACAATGTATGAACGAGATTCAAAAAAACAAAGGGAATCAAAATACCTTATGATCGTAGTGGAGTAATTGGGGGGGGGGGTGATCCTTGCAACAACATATGTGTCCGACTTGAACACCTAGCGACAAAGGTAATGGGAACAAAGTAGAATATTGGGAAAAAAAAGGTTTTGAGAATTTGGGGGTTTGAAGAATTTGATGGTTATGAAAGGGGGGAATATGATGTTTTACGAGAAAGGAAAGAAATAAGGGAAGCAAAATGGTTGGGGAAAGAATTTGAAAAGATTTTGGAGGCTAATGAAAGGTTATAACTTTTAATATTACCAACGTGTGGGGTCGGGTCACTATTACTCTGGACTGACAAAAGACCGTCAACGAATCATCGACTGGCCATCGATAAAGACTAAGAAATTTTTTGAGACATACTTGGAATCTACTGACACCATCAACGGTCCGTCAATTGAACGAACCCGTCGATAGGGTCTGTAGATTTGTGAACCAGACCATTTTCAACAAAATTTTAGTTTTGGTCCCTGCACAATTAACACCCATTAAGCTATTTTTTGTGTTTTTTCTAGACTCTTTTGAGACACGGACCCTAAACTACTCTCTAGCAAACAGTAATGAAAATTAAAGCACAATGATGAGCAAACCAAAACGAAACAAGAAAATGTGACTATTACTACAAAGAAAAAGAAAAACTTATTGTTAGCTAGAGGATACACCTTCGATTCCCTCCCAAGAAGCGCTTGATTTAACGTTGCGGCACGATGCAAGATACTTGATTACTCAGACTTCATCAAGGTGATATGCCTCTACCACTTCATGGACACTCTCTTCATGCCCTATGTAGATCTTAATCCTTTTACAGATGACAGTGAACTTTTAATCCTCCTACTTCTCCAACTCAACTGTTCATGTGGAAACACTTTAGTGATAATGACTGGTCCCGTCCACTTGGTCTTGCCCGGAAACAAGCATATCCTAGAGTTAAATAGAAGCGCCAAGTCCCCAACCGCAAATTGTCGCTTTTAAATCTTATGGATATGGTACTTCTTCATCTTATCTTTGTATATTCCTGAACTTTCATAAGCTTTTAGGCGGAACTCATCAAGCTCATTTAACCCATTAAGTGTTTGTTGTACCTCTTCATTCCAATCCATCTTCAATTTCTTCATTGCCCACATGTCTTTGTGCTCTAACTCAACTGTCAAGTGAAAAGCCTTCCCATAAAGCAGTTGGTATGGAGACATACCTATGGGGGTCTTGTATGCCTTGTAGGCCCAAAGAGCATTGTCAAGACTTCTTGACAAATCTGTTCTATTAGTATTTACCGTTTTTTGAATCTCCAGATTTGACACCTCAACTTGCACGCTAGTATGTGGTTGATAAGGAGTGACTATATTATGGCAAACCCCGTATTTTTCTAATATCCCTTTGAACAACTTATTGCAGAAGTGAGATCCACCATCACTATTAATGGCCTTATGTGTGCCAAATCTTGAATAGAAAGTGCTATCGCTTCCACCCATTTTGACACATACTCTACTGCCACGTGTATATACTTCATCCTATAGGAAGTCACAAACGGACTCATAAAATTAATGCCCCATACATCACACAACTCTATAACAGGAATAGGATTTAAAGGGAGGTCTTGCCTCTTCAAAATTCCTCCATCTCTTTGTTGTCACCTATCACATGACTTAGCCAGCGTGTGAAAATATTGGTGAGTGGTTGACCAGTCCTACAATCTTGTGGGCAGTCCAGATACCACTATGGTGACCACCCACAGGCAAGGAGTGACATGCCTCCAAAATACTTAACTTCTCAACTTCCGGTACACAAATGGAAAATAATCTCATCACCATAACTCCGGTATAAGTAAGACTCATCCCAAAAAAACTTTTTTACATCATACAGGAACTTCATCGTCTGATGGAAGGACAAGTATGATGGCACTATATCACTAGCTAGATAATTCACAAAATCGGCGAACCATGGAATCAAATCATGAGAAAGCAGCCAATACATGCTCATCAGGGAAGGTATCAGCAATTTCAACCTTTTGACCAGTTCTCGCATAGCTTTATCCTCTAACCTCAACAAGTGATTGACAACTTGATTTTCATTCCCTTTTCTACCGTTCACCTTAGAATAAAAATCTTGCAATAATAGCACCGATCTAACAAATTGTGGCTTCACATCCTTCTTTGTTATCAAATACTTCAAAGCAGAGTGGTCTGTATGGACTATGTCCGTCGTGCCAGGCAAATAGGAGAATTTTTTTTAAAATGCAAATACTACTACAAGAAGCTCCTGTTCAGGCACAGTATAGTTCTTTTGGGCCTCATTCAGCGCCTTACTTTCATAATAAATTGGGTGAAGATTTTATCCCTTCTCTCTCCCAATACCCCACCAAGAAAAACCCCACTAACATCACACATAACCTCAAATGGCTCACTAAAATATGGGGAAATAATAATGGGCGCGAACACCAACTTCTCCTTCAACTCTTCAAATGCCTTCAAACAAGATTCACCAAAATACAACTTAGATTCCTTCTCCAGTCATTTGCACAAAGGATCTGCAATTTTTGAGAAATCCATAATAAACCTCTAGTAAAAGCCCACATGTTCCAAAAAATTCTCACACTTTTTATAGAGATGGGTGGAGGAAGACTCTCTATTATTTCAACTTTCGCTCGATCAACCTCCATCCCATTTTCCAAGATGCAATGGCCCAATACTATACCTTCTTTCACCATAAAGTGACATTTTTCCAAATTAAGCAAAAGATTGCAATCTTAACATCTTGTGAGAACCTCAGCCAAGTGACTCAAACACTGATCAAAGGAGTCACCAACAACTAAAAAGTCATGCATGAACACGTTAATGGTGTCTTCCATCATATCGAAGAATATCGACATCCTACATCATAGAAGGTGGCCGATGCATTACATAACCCAAAAGACATCCTCTTGAAGGTGAACATCCCATAAAGACAAGTAAAAGTGGTCTTCTCTTGATCCTCTACGGCAATAGAGATTTGATTTTAACCCAAATATCCATCAAGAAAATAGATCCATCATTTTCCTACGAGTCTATCAAACATCTAGTCCATAAAGGCATAGGGAAATGGTCTCAATCCATGCATTCAACTTTTATTAATCAATACAAACTCTCCACCAGGTCACTGGCCTCATTAGAACAAGTTCATTCCTCTCATTAGGCACTACTGTCATTCTCCCATTTTTGGGAACACACTGAACAGGGCATATCCAACTACTATTTGTAATAGGATATATGACTTTGGGATCCAACTACTTAATGATCTCCTTCTTCACTACCTCTTGCCTAGGTAGGTTCAACCGTCTCTGGTGCTCAATACTTGGCTTGTGATCGGGAATGAGTTGGATTTTATATAATCAAATACTAGGAGGGATCCCAATAATGTCCGCAATAATCCAATCAATGTCTCGTTTAAACCTTTTAAGAACTTCCACCAGACACTCTACTTGTTTTACATTCAAATCAATTGCAATTATTACCGACAAAGTGTCATCTCTACCACAAAATATATACCTCAAATGAGGTGGTAGAGCCTTAAGCTCTAATTTTGGAGCCTCATCAATAGATGGTCTCGCGGGTGGAGACTCACGGTGCTTCATATCTAACTCCAATTTCTTTGGTTTGGACAAATATTTGTTTTGATCAAGTGCTGCAATAAAAGACCCTACTCTTCAATACCATCACTTGCGAAATTCAAGATCACTGCCGCTAGAGCCTTGACACCTAGGCGTTCTTTGATTTGTACCTCAGACATACTCTCAACCCGATATGATATAACATATACCGTTAAGAACTCACCACTCTACTTCATCGACCTACAAATGTTGAATGTTTCTTCTTCATTGTTCAACCTAAACTTAATATGCCCTTTCTCCACATCAAACAAGGCACAACCAGTGGCAAGGAATGGCCTCCCAAGAATAATAGGAACCTCAAAGTCCACCTTATAAACTAGAATCACAAAATGGGCTGGAAATATAAATGACTCCACATTCATGAGAACATCATGGAGTATCCCCAATGGGTTTCTTCGTTGTTCGATCGTCCATTAGTAACCGCATTGTAGTAGGCTTTGGGTCACCCAAACCCAATTTCTGATAAATGGAAAGAGGCATGAGGTTTATGCTTGCACCTAGATCACATAGTGTTTTACCAAAGTGTAATAATTGAATGGTACAACCCCACACTTCAGAAAAGGTAAAAAAGTATGGATGAAGAAAAAAAAGTACATAAGGGGTGAGAAAGAAAAACTTGGTTACGGGAACCGAAGGTTAGGCCGACTACTTTAGTAGAGTAAGACCTAAAAAAGTGTATATCTACCCCTTACCTTTTCTTTCAACGTTGCCAATTCCCAGAATACTAATGTACCCTCGTGTATATAGTTGTCCAACTACCTTCTTCCTCTGACTTCTTTAGACACTTCCGCCATATTCGGGAAAGGTTGCTTTGTGGCGGAGCATTTAGCAATGCCAGTAGCTTGGTGAGGGATGGCTGTCTGATTATAAAAGCTATCACCACCTCAAGCAGTAAAACAAAGTCGTTAAGGCTATGTTACTAACATAGACAACCATGAATGGTATTCATTGACAGGAGTGACCGCTTTCTAGTCGTAGTTGGTACCACCCCTGTTCACTTCAGCATACAACGAACACCTACGGGAAAAATCAAAGTTTTTCACCTCTGCAAAGCTATCAATGCTTTATTCAAGATCTTTAGCAGTCGATCTTTCATTCTCCCTCCCAAGTGGCTTTCGAAAACTCGACATGAAAGAATAAAGAAAATAGGAAAATTCATCGCTGAAATAGGTTTCCACCCTATTGTACTTGACAGGCTCTTTAGGGAGAACAAGCATGAGACGCGTTGCATACGGCTTATGCATGTCCCCCTCACCGGTTATTAATGTCCTGAGATCCGATACATTTATAACGGACATTGTTGGTCGAATTCTCCATCCGCCAGAGGGCTGTGTCAACTCGCAACCAAGTATTCAATTTCACCATCGATTTTACCTATTTTAGGAGGGGGGGGGCTGAATTTAGAGTTCGTTCTCGTTTGATGTCTACTCAATCTAAATGTTGGGAAAGACTAAAAGCGGATGCAAGCAAACCACATAAGTCACATCTATTACCTCTTGAATATTGGATTGTGAGATTTAAACCTCTTAATCTTTTTTTAAGGGAAACATAATAGATTATCTCTGGAAGGAACACCTATGGCTCAAATCTTTAGTATTCCCTTATTTATTACCAGTGTCTACTATTTAGGCAGAATACTCTCACCCATTCTTACTAAGAAACTGAAAGAATCCTCAAAAATAGAAGAAAGGGTGGAAAGTGAGGAAAAAAGAGATATAGAAATAGAAAGAGCTTCCGAAATGAAGGGGACTAAACAGGAACAAGAGGGATCCACTCTCCTCACCCTGATATTGGGAGAGTTTTGGATGTCCTAGATGATATTAAAACCTCTTTCAGAGACCTCCAACCAATCTATCTACCACACCTCCAAAACATTCCCTTGGAATTAGGAATGTCTTGGGAACCAACTTGGAAAAGTACCCCCTTATTAGACAATTTCGTCCATAGTTTTGACTTAAAGTTTGCGATACAGTCGATAAAGAGGCTGCAAAGTATGCGAAGGATCATATATCTTTGTGAACTGAAACAGTATCAATAGGAAGATCTCACTTTTGTTTACTCAGACGCCTCTTTCTTATCGAAGACTCTGGCAGTTGGAACTCATCAGCAGTGACTCTTACCACTGAAACCTAGGCACTCAGGCCTTGTAAATGATCTGTCAGTCCACCGTTACCATAAACCTCTACTTTGAAGTGAAGCGACTTCATTCATTCTCGAGTCGATAATTGCCACAGGATTCCATTCTGGACTAGTTTTCAGGCATACGCCAACCTGGAAAAAAGAGAGCAGATTTTACTTGGCACAACCTAATGATATATCCAATACCAATGATCTGTGCCTAGAATGCATTGCTAGTAAATATTCATTGAGATGAAGTATGATATTAAGTGAAGGAAAGGGGAATTTTAGGAAAGAGATCTTTGTTTTTAGATCTTTTTCCCATGGAATAGTGAAGGCACTCAGAACTTCACTTTTATGCATAACAGACCTTGTAGCAATAGCACTACAATGCTGCATTAGGTCATCATCCTTAAAAATTATTGATCTCTTCTTTGTAACCATATCCTTCGTAAATTTAGCATAACCATACATTTGTTCCAAAGCTTCTATCAAAGGGACATTGATGGAAAATTGTTTCAACATAGTGCTATAATGTCGGTATTTACCATCCTCAATCTTATTCACTAATCTCTGAGGGAATGGTGGTTGAGGTCTAGGAATGGGCACCACTTTCTGAGTTACCTCTGCTTTTTTTGCCATTTCGTCCTCCAATTCTCCACTAGTTTCCACCACCTCTTTGTCTTTTCTCGTCTCATATTCTACCAC